CTATCTTTAAAATATTGATTTTTTAATTTTGGGCTGGAAAAGTGGGGGTCGTCTTGTACATGGGGGCGTCTTATTGTCGGAAAAATACGGTAACTTCTAATACATGGTAGATTGTGTCTGTAATTCCCCCTTCCATATGTAGCCATCCTTACCTGAACCCACATCCTGGTCCATAAGGGTAAAGCATCAGAATAATACAGGATGTGAAACAAAAGACCTCATAGGAAAAAACAGTGAAGATCCCTCTTCTTCCTATACCTTCATTTACTACTGCTGGAGTGGGACATCTGTGGCCCTCCAGATACCAGCCAGCTTGCCCAGTGGTCAGGGATCAAAGAAACTGCATCTGGCAAGATCTGAAGGTTCACAAATCCCCCATTCCTGCTCTACTGGATTTTAAATTGCTTTTGTAAAACTAAGCTGTTCCATTGTTAATAAAAATGCTCTTTTGGCTCTCCGGCAGCTTATATAAAAACAAAGCAGCTGAACTCCTCTAGAATTCTTTCTTCTACATATGCTACAAGGTAGAACATTCTCTCTTTCTGCCCCCATTCATTTCACATACTGGGTACACCCTCAAATTACTTTACAGGAGGAAAAAAGGGTGCTTTCTTCCCCCCCCCCAAATCTCATAAAGGACACATTAACTTCAGAAACAGCAAGAGACACTTCTTTGTGTCCTCCGCTTTCTCCCTCTTTCAGGTTGGTTTTAACTTAAAACTATAGTGAGGGGGCTAAACGACAGGGGAGGGAGAAGGTGAAGGCAAACGTGCCTGGCAAGCAAAGGGAGATGGAAAAACTGGCAGAGCAACATAAGGGATAAGGATGAGACAGCAGAGGGTGGAGGTGAGCACTGGATGCCTTGGTCACTAATCCTGCAAGCTATGGACAGGAGGGAGGCCTTGGCCAAGTGAGAATCACAGAGCATGTACCTAATGTAGCTGTGAATAAAAGAAGAAAGTAATATAACATTGAATGTACCTGCTTGCTGCCAGCAACAGGAACAGATAGGGAGAAAATGATGCATTATGGAAAATGATGCTGATTTAGCTAATTTCTCAGCCCATTCCCCTGGAGCGGAATGAATGCTGAGGATTGGCTGTGTAGATTCAATGACCTGGTGATTTCCTACAGTGCACAGTTGGCTCTGGAGTCCACCCATCTTCTTGTGGGATACAAGAGAATAGGAGCTCTATAGTGCAGGAAGGTAAGTAGCTGGGGCTGGAGAGCCTGAAAGTACTGAGACAGGAAGTGGTGACAGACTGTAAACTTTAATGTGAGTTGAAGACAGAGTGAAGAAGTGCAGAACAGTGGATAGGGAAGGGATTGCTGACACAATGGAGAAAGGAGAGCTGGACATGGATGAGAGGAGAGAATTGGAGGTGGTGGCCTGAGTCTCTTGATGGATTATGGAATGTTGCAACAGAGTAGGTGGAGAAAGATTGATGTTAACAGTTACATTGGAGGAGAAGATGTACAAGGTTCAGCTGAAGGAAGAAAGAAGGGCCAGTGGTACCCAGCAACTTCCTGCATCATCAGGTTCCATGGAAAAAGAATGGTTTGGTGACTGCCATTTCTGGACGGACTTAAATAGTTGAGAGATAGCATGTTGAGAGAGTAGCAAACTTCGCTGTGTTTATGGGAAATCTGGACTGGCATTGGGGCATGAGCATGTAGAGCAGAGGACCAACTTCAGAAGGAGGAAAAGAAGGAAACTTGCAGCATGGGTGAGCACTCTTCCCTAGATGAGAGCCAGGAAGAGTGCAATGAAAGAACATAAGGGTAAAATTGGAGTGGAAAGTTACACTGATTTCCAGGGGGAAGGGGATGGGCGAGAGGGGGCATAGTGGGAGAAGGGTGGTGGTGAGACAGCTGGAGAGTGCCCATGGGCCATTCTGCTAGGGTAGCTATATTCTAAATGGCAGAATGATTATTCAAAAATACAAACAGGGTGGTGACTGGAATGAAAAGCTGGGGATGCCCTGTACTGGGGAGGGAGGGGGCAGAATAAGAAAGGATCTAAGTAGTGATGGGCAGAGGGGGTATGGGGCAAAGTGGAGACAGGCTGTTACAGGGGAAAGTAGATTACCGTATTTTTCCGACAATAAGACGCCCCCATGTACAAGACGACCCCCACTTTTCCAG